AAAAGCTTTAGAACTGCCTTTTCTTCAAGTTTGTCTCTGTTTTATGTAAAGTAAATCGCCCTCCTAGTTTAGAACGTTCTCGCTCTACGCGCATTTCTTTGCTTGATCACGAATTGTCAATCACAACATAAGCGCTTAAAGTAAGAATAGAATTTATTGAGTCAAGTTATTTATTAATTTAGGTAATTATGTTCTATATAAATTAAGCATAATGATCCGAAGAGATAATGCAGGTTCATACTAAAAGTCGTAATTTATCTCTTGAATGTGGTTGATATCTTGGTCTCAATAGGTTGCAAAATCAGTGATGAATTGAAGAAAATCTGCACAATTCTTTTTAAACGTGTTTATTTACCCATCTATTGTATATTGGCAGCATCATCGGAAATAATTAATGAGGAAAGTTGGGAAAAGCTATTGAAAATCATAATTTATTTAGCCTACAAATGCCATCCAGCCCCTTAATTGGAAAGATGTTTAAAAATATTAGGCAATTGAAAATACCATTGTTTGCATAAGATTAAATGAAACAATTTTGTTTGCTCAAAGTTTTGAAGTATTTACTTCGAAGTAAAGTAAATCTTCGTAGAATCCCACAAAATATGAAAATAATATGACTTATAACATAGGGAATTTATCAGCTAATCGCTGCACGGGATTTTACTTTGACAAAGAGTTTTTCAGAGTACATTAGGACGCTAAAGCGAGCATCGCTGCAAGGAAAAAATGGTACGTTTAAGAAATATTGATCGACTATATGTTATTGGAAAAAGTTCATTGGAGCAAGAGTAAGATTCATTAGTCAAAATTTCAATTCGGTTTAATTTCCCAAGTGCAACAACTTGTACATAGGTAAAACTCGAAATGGAATAAAGATGTTAAACAGTCCCGAATAACTGTTATATGGTTAGGCTGTGTAATCTTATGGGAAGTATGAACATCCTTTGATTTTTAAAATCATGAAATAGAAACGTTTCTGAGTAATTATTATATTCACTGAAAGGTAATTACACTTTCAGACACGCAGAATCTAGGCGAATATTTGAACACTTGCACTCTTAGCTGTCATAAGCTAATGTAAACATGATAATATGTTTACTAGAAGAACCATGAGAAAGAAATGTTTACTAGAAAAACCCTGTGCTAAGAAAAAAAATAGTAAAGATTAACAAAAAACAGACAAACCAAGAGGCAGTCGTGACAGACACACAAAAACCAATTGACCGCAATAGATGAACTTAAGCCGACGAACACTAATCCAAATTGTACTCATTAATTATCAGCATATCAATCTCATCTCAGCAACGGATTTTATTATTATCATTTGAAACTGGGATGCGTTATCTGCCAACAACAATCCTGGCATGAAATTCTGCATAATACAAGTTTAAAGACAACCGACAACTGTAGGCGAAGATGGCTATTAAATTATCTAAAAATATAGGCTTTTTATTGATGTTTGAGGGAGAATCAATGAGCGTCAAAAAGAAAATCGATTATGAGACTGAAGAGCCTTAAAAATTCAAGTATAAAAGCACCTAGCACTATAAAAAACAAACAAAAAAATTATATCGAAGAAAAAAGGGCAGCCTTAATGAAATTATCGGAGAAGCGACATCACATAACCTTTTCGGCCTCACCAAAGCCTCCTCTTTAACGACGGCTTAGAGAGGCTAAAAAGCAGCATATCTGCATGGCTCTCGACTTGAGCTTCCCGCCATCTAATGCGCCACAACAGACTTTGCCGCTAACTTCCAGCGCGTAATCTCGTAAGTTTGCCGTAAGTTTCTGGCCGAAGAACGGGCGTCAACACTAGGATCAACTTTAATTCTTTGCTAACGAGAATTTGGAACAAACGCTCACGAACAAAACAGCTCCGGACTTCAGGATCGAGTGTAATGCTTAGCCACGTGCTAGGGCACTCCTGTAGTTCTTAGGTCTTTGAATTCTGTAAAACTTTTCCCTTGTATGAGGAAAAATCATCAAGTTTAAACCGATTGATCGAGGCATACATTAAGGTATCATGTATGCATCGATTAATCAAGAAAAACATTACGGTATCACGTAAGCATCGATTAATGAAGGCATACTTCACGGTATCATGTATGCATTGATTACTCCAAAAATATTACGGTACCCCGTAAGCATCGATTAATCAAGAAAAACATCACGGTATCATCTATGCATCGATTAATCAAGAAAAACATCACGGTGGCATGTATGCATCGATCTTTCAAGCTTGTCAAAAGTGCATGACATTTTAATTTAGAACTTCTTTAGAGTTTATTTTCTGTAGAGTTTCTCAACTGTTATTCAAACTTTAGAGAAAATGTAAATAAAAATGGCTTTCTTTTTACTTGAACTTGTCTATATGAAACGGCGGATAAATGGCTGCTTTCTCTCGTTGTAGTTAGTCAAATTACTCCAATGTAATCATAAAAATGAAGAAGTCTACAACCTTCTCGGGAGCAAATTTTATAGGTCACAACAGATTCTTGAAGAACTCCCGCTCTTTTGAAGAAGTCGTAGCTGTGAATAGTTCTGGGGCCATACTTTCAAAACTCGCTAAGTGAACGTAAGTAATTACGCTCTATTTTCTTGTCAATGATTAGTGGATTTTGCTTCAAATGCCGTCAATGATTGGCTGATGAACTTATGAACTCTTAACTTTTTTTGAAAGTATGGCTCCGGGATTTGACGTTGTAGTCGAGAGTGTCAGCCTGTGTCACGTGAAAAAATTCGTTGAATTTTTTTATGGGTTCAAATTTCCTTGTTATATCATATTTACATATATTGTGTACTTATTTCCACCAAAATTTCTGTATTCAATACTTCCTATAACTTGGAAACGAATTTTGTCACATTTGAAACGTCGCTAAATAAAATAAAATTAAAATAATTTTCTTGATCCTGTATTTTGATCAACCAACATCATCTGAACAATATTGTTAGGTCCTGAAAATTTAAATCGAACAATATTAGTGTAGTTAGGCAGAAGTTCTTCATTTATGCAGGTTTGATTGGAGACCAGATCATGTTTTTGATTATTTTATTAATAATAAATTCGTCTGGCCGCTTCACTTGACGTCAATAGCTTATACACCAACGTCCCAACTGAACAAACTTAAGAGATATTAGCCAAAATGCTCTAATAAAACTTTGCTCTAAGCTCTAAGCTTTTTTGCTCTAATGAAACTTTGCCGGCTCCATCAATCCCTAAAAATATTCTACTTGATCCCCTCCGTCTCTGTACTTCAGAGTCGCCTTTAAATCCCAGATAACAAAATATATCAGCAAATTAACGGTGTGGCCATGGGCAGTCCTCTTGGTCCAACATTCGTCGAATTCTACATGTGCGAACTCGAAAACCGAGTGTTGTTAGAATCAAAGATTATACCCGACCTTTCTTTTCGGTATGTCGACGACATCTTCGTCATTGTTCGAGACGAAGATCATACGATGGAGCCGCCCGCAGCTTTAGAACTTAATTCTGTTTTGACGTTCACTTGCGAACTTGGAGACAAAATCCCACGTTGCCTATCTAGGACATACTGGTGCAAGACGAAAATAACTCGTTCGTCACTAAAGTTTAAGGAAACCAATAGACGTCGGAAAGGTCAAGAACGAAGAAAGCGAATGTTACGAAGGTCCCAGCGCTACACGCTGAAGGTCCCAGCGCTGAACGAAGGTCCCAGCGCTACAAAATTAGCACCAACGCACTCTCATACATCGAGCTTCCGAAACATGTACATCCGCTCGTGACTTGAAAACTGAACTCCGGACCTGCAAGCAAATTCTTGTAAACAACGTTTATGCGAACAAAGCTATAGACACTGAAATTTTAAATTTTCGAGCGTGTTAAAACCGAACAAATGAAAAATTTTCACATCGAAAGATTGCGTCACAGTATTTACTATCAAAACCAGATGAGCAGCGGTTATAGGACGGATGAAAGAGCCCTCAATTTAATTATGAAAAATAACATCAGCTGAACAATAGTAACTGGCCAAATAAAACTCCTGATTTACAACGGAAACAAGAAAATTAAGAATATAATCATGAATAATAACCCTATAAACTAATGTAATATACAAATTCTCCGGTACGAAAGTAGGTTGTAGACTACTCCAAAATGTAATTATATCAGTTTGAGCAGCACGACTTTGAGCAGCCGACTCACATGCCACCTACAAACTGCACGAGGACCAGAGAACCACACTCGAGAGGCTTACATTTATACCATCACCAGCGCGATATTGAGGATGCCTACACCAGCATCATCATGCGGTGCCCCGATGCTCCAAGACTGGTGATAGCAGATCATCAAAAGATCACCAATTTGATGATGATAGATCACCATCAAAGATGAGTCTCCAGCTAACAATTTGCAAACGACTGGATTTGTCAGGACGTTGAAGTTATCGGAATAATTTTAAGTTTTGATTTCAAACCGTATCTGCGATACCATTTATGCGTACTAATGTCTTTTCCAAATTTTAAATTTCAGGCGTAGTAAAATTGCTCATTTACTTGAGAATGAATCTTGAATATTTGAAGCGTCGTATTCCAGCAAAATTTCATTTCATCATACAATCTGTTTTTCGATATTCCAGCACCAGCACGAACTATTGTTCTACTCTTTGAAAGAAAACAACAATAAGAAAATTGTTAATAAAAAATCATGCATGGATTAATAGTCAATTCAAAAATATAACTCAGTATACTCATTGCAGTGAGTGACAGAGAGCGCATTTTCTCGTCAACGAAAACGTGAAGTCACGGACAGACGATCAGACAAACGGACGGACGAACATGATGAGCACTAACAATAGGACATTTTTTCCATAAATGAGAAAATGCGCTAATAAGGTTGGATTCCCATTTAATAGCTTTTTTGAGGTAGGTATTCAGTTATACTTCCAGATGACGGAAAGAAGTTAGCTTTCTTCTTTCTTAAACTTGAAGCAATTGGTTGGTTTTACAAGCTCAAGGCAGGGCACTCACTTCTTCTTCCTGAGGGTAGGCAGGATGGCCCCGAGAGTGAGGGGAGCAAGAGGCAGCAGCGGCAGCAGCAGGCCCAGCAGCAGGTGACCTGAGAAGGTGTGCAGCAGCACCAACAATGCAGGTGCCAGTGTCCCTCCTGAGGGTAGTTACATAATAATATGTATTTTCATAAAGTAGAACATCATAATCAGCATCGAATATATTGTGCAATATACAATCTATACATATACAATATTCAATGCCATATTATAACATAATATGCAATAGAGGTATATCCAATATTATTTTCTCTACGGGTCAAAAGAAAAAAGATGTGACCAGAATTTTGAATGAAAATAAATAATAAAGCTTCAATAAATTGTAATGATCAATTTCTATGGTATTTTCCTGACTAGAGAAAGTACCTTCCGGGTCATAAATAGTTATGAACTCCAATTAATTACACAGTCAAAATGCATTTAGAGAATATGAAAAATAATGAAGAACAATAAAAGAATATTAATAAACAATTTTTCTTATAAATCTGTGAAATCGCGTTTAACAGCCTTCCCACTATAAAGACTATTTTGGGTATAAAGACTATTTTTTTGGGTATAAAGACTATTTTTTGGGGTATAAAGACTATTTTTCGGCCTTCCCCTTTATAAAGACTATTTGTGACAAGCTTCAGAGAAGCGTTGACCTCTACGAACCTGCGCCCGTCTCGACGCGTCCCACGAACGCAGCGGACCAGGGCAGGGTGGGGAAGGTGGTTTGGTGGCCCGTGGAGTAGAAGCCGTGCAGGCTGAGCAGGCACCACACCACAGGGCCGACCCAGCGCAGCCGCATAACGCTGTCTGGGATATCGTAAAACATCACAACAAGGCTGACCCTCTATCATTCAATAATAATGCATTTAAACCGTTTGTAACTGGAAATAAATTGTCTACAAACTTCACTTTCAGGTGAATAATTATAAACTAAATTGAGAATTCCGACTCAAACACAGAAAGNCCGCTGGAGTTTGCTACCGCACATCAGCGCTGCTGCCGGCCTCACGTCCGCTGGAGTTTGCTACCGCACATCAGCGCTGCTGCCGGTCTCACGTCCGCTGGAGTTTGCTACCGCACATCAGCGCTGCTGCCAGCCTCACATCCGCTGTAGTTTGCTAACGCACATCAGCGCTGCTGCCGGCCTCACGTCCGCTGGAGTTTGCTACCGCACATCAGCGCTGCTGCCGGCCTCACGTCCGCTGGAGTTTGCTACCGCACATCAGCGCTGTTGCCGGCCTCACATCCGCTGTAGTTTGCTAACGCACATCAGCGCTGCTGCCGGTCTCACGTCCGCTGGAGTTTGCTCCCGCACATCAGCGCTGCTGCCGGTCTCACATCCGCTGTAGTTTGCTAACGCACATCAGCGCTGCTGCCGGTCTCACATCCGCTGTAGTTTGCTACCGCACATCAGCGCTGCTACCAACTGTTCGCACTTAGGTTTAGTTGCTGCACAGTG